TTATTAGAGCTTCCTTGAGTTCACTCGTGAGTCATCCTCACATCGTCTTAATTAGGAAAATTTGAAGTGATCAATAGATATTTGGTTTGGTATTTAACATTTAAAATTCACTCTATTTATATCTTGTTTGTATTAAACAACTACGTCTTTTCACAGGTGAAAAAAAGAGTATATCTAAGATAGATTGCCATTGAAAACTTAGGAGTACTGGATGGTCCCTTCGTCCTTGTATGGGACCCATCATCAACGTGTGTCCACGACTCCGCATCAAAAGGACACGAACTCAGGACCTTTGATGTCGTGCGTGAATGCTGGAACTCTAGACTACTGAGCCAGCATCCAAAAGTGTTAATATCTACCGTCAATCGATCCATGAACTTGCACAACCCTTCATCCATTGTCTGAGGTATTTTCATTCATGTAATGAAGAATTGAGACACTATCGAGTTTTTATATTAGTTAAATTGTAATTTATTTATTTAGTTGAACACATAAACATTGGTACAAGGAGGCATCAAATATATATACACCGCATAAATCATTAATTTGTGAGAGGGCTGTAATACTGCCCGAGTGCCCAAACCGAAACAGCTGGTTTTCTTACAGGGTCACACCTGGAGCCTTTAACCCAGAGGTCTAACCCATAAGGCAGTGAGGCGACGTAAGGAGATGAAATCCCATGGTAACCGGTAACCAACGATTGGTTCGTACAACATTTGTTCCTTCAGGATACTGGGACAAGACCATGTGTACCGTTGGTTTGAAATCGAGGCTTTCAAACTCCCTTAGGTGGATCCTCCGTGTCCATCAACTTGGTTAGAGAGCCGGACATTCGCTTTTAGTCCTCTCAATTTCGTAAACAACAGTCCCACTACGAGAAGGCAGTGAGTAAAACTTCCGTGGCATTGGCTGTATACGCGTGTCCATGTGAGAGCATTTCGACAGAGAGCGGACTCTCCCCACTCTCGTCCGTACTAGGGCATTTGAGGACAGGAAGCAAATTATAGCACGTTTCTGTATGTTGATACATAAGATTGAGGCAATTCACGATATTCAACCATGAAACTATTCCACGAAATAATAGTATGCTGTATGTGGATGTCAGATACAAAACAAAATTAGTAATTATAAATTGGCAAATAATAGCCACATTAGAAAGAAAAACAGTAACAGAAAGCTATAGGACATATTTTTCAATAATATTTGGGTGTGTATGATTTTAGAGGACTGATTGACTACGGTTTGTTATATTCCCATGAAATTAACACCCATAAACTAGTAGTTTTACATCTACCAATATCTCTATTAATACAAATACAATAAACTCCGCCTGGAGTCCCTCCGGGGGCTACTGCCAGTCCCAAGCCCGGATAAAGGAGGAGGGTTGGGCATGGGGTTAGCGTCCCCATCCCGTAGAAAACTAACTCGCTAAAAAAACGCTAACCAGTAAAAAATAAATAATCAACTGTTCGGTTTTAAGTGTCGAGGGAATTCTCTCAAGATAAGTGACTTGTAACTAGATTTGAACTTGGGTTCATTATTAGTATATAATCAGTCTAATGAAAACTAATACTCTGACTGAATCCAGACTTGTGAGATTGTGCCATTGTCGAAATTGTGATCGTATAGTTAAGAATTGGAAATGAATTTTGATCTGACCTTGTGTTCTTTTGTGAACTTAAACGAAAAGTTAAATCCTAATGTTGATTAGGTCTATCTAATGAAGTATATATATAGCTACATAGTAATCGTACTGTGTGGAAGGAAATACAAGCTTCCCGATCGAAGCATTGATTAATTGAATCCCAAGTGTAATTTATTAATAAGAATGCCTTCTGATTGAGTATTAGTCAATTCACGGAGTAGCTGATTATTACAAAATGCGGACTCAATATTTGAACTGTTTTCAAAGTGAATAGGTTGAGGTTAGACATTAACACCATCGGATGCCGGCTCAGTGGTCTAGAGATAAGCGTTCACGTGCGAAAGTGAAGGCAATGAGTTCGAGTCCCCCGAGCGGGATCGTGGATGAGCACTGCTGAGGAGTCGCATAATAGTACGAAATGGTCATCCAATGCTTCCAGGTTTTCAATGGTGGTCTAACATCAATCGATTCATGATTCCAATCAAAAGCATTCAAAGTAGTTTTTCATGCATTCATATTAAAATGTACAGAATTGCTGTCTAAAGATCTGTTACTTGATGAATTACTTTCGTTGATTACATTCTAGTCATAATATTAAAGATCTCAACTAAGGACAGATCTATTCATTAAAACTTCAACCAGTTTTGTTTTATTTGAATCTTCCCATTGATGTTTTTGGACTGAAATTGATCAGTCTCTTATTGGCATATGTGCATACTGTGCGTATGCCTCGATATTGCCTTAATTTACAAGCATTGTAAGCAAAGATGGATAGTGGCTAGCAGTGGACTAGTGGACGAAACGCGCGTCCTGGATTCCACTGCTAGCCACTATCCATCTTTGCTTACATTCAACCAGTTTTGTTTTCATGCTCCTATCAGATTATTTTTTTCGATACAAAATTATACTACTGACTAAGTAGTATAGAAAACGTGTCAACAAATCGTGAAAATTAACTTGTTGATTACATTACACCTATTACAAGTTATTCAATTAATTTTACTGAATATTTCATGATTAATTTCAAATTAAAAGGATCAATCTACTGATTTTAACTCATAGAATTAGATTTCTATGCTTTATGAACTTGAGATTAAATGATTATGAAAGGATTTGATAACAATGTTTCCATGAAGAATAATATCTGACAGTCAGATAAAAAGGCTTGATCCCTTACTAAACTTAGACTAGGAAATACGACGTAAAATGCATTTCAAGTTAACAGCAAAAATATACCAAATGAAATGTGTTATTTATTTACGGATTACTGTCACATACCATTACTTACAATTAATTGATCACTGAGTGGTAATCAAAGTTATGTGCGTCAGGTCCTTCTGCATGTAGATCGAATTCTATCGGCCAAGTTGCAATCTGGCTACTAGTCTAGATAGCTCAATATCGCGGTGTTTGGATGTAGCCGACAGGAAAACTTAAATCCATGTTTTGGGTTATTTGGCATTTGTCAAGAAGGAGTAGGTGTAATCATGTAGGACCTAATGCTCGTTGAGGAATTCGATCCCGTGTCTCACAGCTTCACAGTTGTAGACGTTACCATTGAGTTATTCAGGTCTTATAGGAGGTCAATCGCGGCCAAGATAGCTCAATGGTAACGCCTTTGACTTTGAAGCGGGGTGATACGAATCGAACCCATCAGGTATCATTAGGTTCTTCATGATTAAAGCACCACCTTCCTGACAAGTGACAAATAGCCCGAAAGTTATATCCAAAGTTTCCTGATGATTACCTGGAAACACAGTCTTATCTCAACACAGTACACGCGATCTTGAGTCACACAGACCAGTTGCCACATTGAAACTTCGTCATAACAGTCTGAACGATATCGCTGGGGCGTCAGACCTGTTGAACTGATACTTGAAAAACCCGAACTATCGTTCAGGACGTCGGTAGATCATGGTGATTGGCATTCCATCACCTTCACACATTAATTCATTTACACCAGACTTCTTGCTGCCAGTGACTCAGATGAACTGAGATTCCAGCAGTTACTGCTCTCAAATCATTGGCACGCTCCGACCACCAGGTTTCTCGGACCTTACACAAGCTTGTCACAGTTTCATTGAGTAACAGCCTTAGTTTATGACCAAACTCTCGGTCACCCTTAATAAACCGACTGGCTCCAATGAGTTGTAAGGAACCTGAAGAAACCTAGTGCTTAAAAGTGGAACGTTTCCTGAAGTTACAAGCCGCATTACTTGCCATTTTCATGGAACCATACTATTGCAACCAATAAAAATTTATACTTTTTAGTGGGATGATAGCCAGTCGTGAACCTAACTCATTTTGATATTTAGTTGCATCAGAAACTGCAACCAATCTGCTGAAAATGAACCGTTTAGGACGATGAATTTGTTGGCCGCTGTATCGCAAGGTAACATGAGCACAAACAAGAGTATGATCGGAGTCCAGATAAATACTCCAAGAGGAGCGACAGTTTTGTATATAACCACGCCACCGGTAGCTGATCGAAATGTGGTCAGTCTGTGTCCAGATTTAAAATGAAGAGGGAAAACGCCAGGTAACACATTAGAGATGACTTTGCCGGAAGTCAGTGCTATCCAGAAACAATTTGTAATCTGAGCAAAGTTGAAGTAGACGGTCACCGTTACATAACCTGCGACCAACAAGACCCATTAAGCAACCCAAACGTCTCTCTTCTGTATCTAGATGCCCAACCTGAGCATTCAATTCTCCGACTAGCACGACTGCAAATTCAGGTGCACGACACCAATTTATTGTTTAGTGCAAAATTATAGAACGTCTTCGTAAGCCACCAAATAACCTGGTTAGGTCGAGAATGGGGGGAGATAGCTCTCTCTCTCTCTCCCAAAATGCTCTCACATGGCCACGCGTATACAGCCACTACCATAGAAGTCCTAGTTACTGTCTTTTCGCCACTGGGGTGCTATTTACGAAATTGAGAGGATGAAAAGCGAATGTCCGGCGTTTTAACCGATCTGGTGGGTACAAATGATCCATCTAGGGGAGGTAATAAACTCTAGTTCAGACCCAATAGTGCTCATGCGCTCCAGGATACATTTCCAAGCTTTTCAAATCTGTAACATCTAAAATCATTCCTCTCATAATATTTGTCATATACGAGGATATACTACTGACAAAATATAAGTAGTTTCATTTTTATGTGTTTTTTTTTCATTGGCATAAGGGACTGACATGTATACAACTACTTACGACGTTAACTTCACATGAATAGAAAAATAACTGAAAACTATCAATAAAATAAATACAATATAATGATTATAAAATATTATTTTACACTGGTTATGAATGCATTACACCGTATGAAAATAAATGATCCTATTCCTAATCATAATTACATAGAGATCTCTGTAATATTAGTTATAATATCACCATTCATGACATTAGTAACTTCACTATCTAATTCATCATTATAATTGATTCTAGGTAATAATAAGGTTGAATTTATAGGTGTACGACATATTGGACAAGTAATATATCCAATTAAATGATGATTTACTGAAAACATTGCTGATTTATATAATGATTTAAAACAATCAGAACAAATGACGGCATGTCGACATGGTAAAAGTACACGTAGATTATAAGTAGTTTCTATAGAAAGACATATGAAACAACATGGTTGCCATGTTTGACAAACTTTATCTTTATTTATAGATGATGTGATTGTTTTCGTTGGTAAAATAGTAGTTTCATCAATTGTGTTCATATTTTCACCAGCATCAAAAAGGATCTATTCAAAACAGAAGAAAAAACAAACAATGAGACATTATGGAAAGGTTACCAGTTCATTGTTTATTTGAGCATAAATTAACCTGAAATCAAGAAACAATGATGATAACTCTATTTAAATGTTTGTATTCAAACAACGCATCATGAATCAGTCAGTAACAACGTAGAACTCCGCACGTACGTACATCATTTCGAGTTGCCATATCACAGAGATGCAATTTTCAATTCAAATCCCATAGTGGTAGAGGTACTAAAAGTATAGGCAGTAGTTGGGATGATGTTATTCAAGGGGTATAATTCAATGAAATAAATTTTGAAAGAGAAAGAATAAAGGACATGAAGAATTCAGAAGATTAGAATTTGGGAGAACACAAAGAGTGGATGCACATGTGCCACTGCAAATGATTTTGCGCCATGTCATTCAAGGTCTCTAACCATCGGTCGCTGATCCCAATCAGGTAGTCTACACCTACCAACATGACTCAGTTCACTTATCAGTGACTTCATGGACTTGTGCCATGTTTTGGTTTGGCCATGTTTTAGACTTTCCCCCCCCCATATTTCTTCCAACCTACTCTTACACCATAGAACATTGCGAGTTGAGGCATTCGGTGGTTGGGCATTCGTAACACATGTCAGAGCCATCTCAACTGATGAATTTTCACTACTTCATCAATTGATTTGCCATCCTTACCTAGTACCCGTGTCCTAACAACTGTGTTACTTACTCGATGGTCTCATGATATACGAGCAATGTTTCGAAGACACCTATGATCGAATACTAGTAACCTACGAATATCCTCTACTCTTACCGGTCATGTTTCACTGCCATAAAGAAGGACGGGACGAACTGCTGCGCAGTAAACACGTCCTTTGGTTGATAGACGGATATCTCGCCTACGCCATAAATGACGCAAGTTGGCAAAAGCTAGTCGAGCCTTATGTACCCGTGCTGAGATTTCGTCACACACCAAACCATAAGGGCTGATGAGACTCCCAATATAAGTGAGATAAATGAGGCGGTCGACACGCTCAACTACTTCACTCCCTATCACTAGTTAAGGTGTCGATGCAACCAAATCCTGAAGTAAGATTTTGCATTTCAAGGGGAAGAATCGCATCCCGAACACGTTTGCATTGTTGCTTAGAGTGGTCAGATGAAATGCTTAATGAGTCAAAAGTAAGCAAAGTGGTAAAAAAAATGTGGATCAGCCCAAATTGTTACACTACATATTGATATATTAAGATGAGAATTAACAATATGAAAAGTGAAGGATATAGATTGAACCTAAGTACGCCATCAAACATTGATTTTGAGTGATATCACTCAGCATCTATGATCATAGATCAGGGTTATCAACAATGTGTTTAAATCCAACAGTCGATGATTAAATGAACTAACACTTATATCATCGTTTGCCTCCCTAACTTGACTGTAAACGATTTCTACGCTAAGATAGTGGTTGGAGGTAGTCAACAGCAAACCCTCCACTCACCATCCTATTTCATCATAGGGCACGCAATGTCGAGTCACCTAAATTAGTGGCTACATCGCAACCTGGTCGATAGGATTCGGTCTGCACTAAGAAGGACCCGACATACGTGACATTGATCACTACCCAGTGATCAATCAATTGTAAATTTCTACGTTAGCATTGCGTATCATATGATAGTCAATGGAGACAGTTTTTAATGTTTCAGTTAATCAGACTAAAAAGAGTAATTTTATAGTAATAATGAAACAACTACAAAAAAGAAAAACTAATTAATAACAATATGCAAAGATGGATAGTGGATAGCAGTGGAATCCAGTTTGACACGCGTCACGTCCTATTTGAAACTCATCAGCTGGATGTACCTGCATTTCAGTGCCGTTCGCTTCAAACGCCATCGCGCGTTATCCACTTAGTGGTGAAGATTAAATTCATTTGGAGTTGTTTTTTATCACTTGAATTTTCCTATTGATGTTTAGGACTTAAATTGATCAGTCTCTTATTGACATAGGTTTATACTGTGTGTGTTGCCTCAATATTACCTTAATTCACAAGCATTATAATCAAAGACGCACAAGTAAGTGGCTATCAGGACTCAGTATCTAAGTGAATAACGCTATGCAGGTAGAAGCGAACAGTACTGAGTACGAGTCCCAGAATGAACATCAAGTCGGACGCAGATACATCCAGCTGACGAGTCCAAAATAAGACGAAACGCGCGTCCAACTCGATTCCACTATCGATCTTTGTATATAATGCATGTGACCCAAGGCAATATCCGGGCAGTCCGCACATTATGCACAAATACCAAAAAGAGACTGATCAATTGCAGTCCTATTCATCAATGGAAAGATTCAAGTAAACAATAACCAAGTGAATATATATTACAATGTTTAGAAATCTTATTAATACTATTATTACCATTACTGACAAACATTTTATTGTAATTTTGAGAAGTAAATATATATTTGTGAATGCATAGCTTTGAAAATGGATCAAAAGTTTGCCAACTTGAGTCAATCTATGCAATATTTGATTTGATTCAACCGACTAAATATCAAAACAACAATATAGTTTTACTCACCTGTGGAGTCAGAAGACGGTTCCAATTGGTTTTCCAATATGTATACATGATACTTGTATTCACATGTTCCTCTTCTCGAATCTTTACATGAATTATGTAGCATGTAATATTCTGAAACGACCAAATTGGATCAATATGTCAAAGTAACTAATAGATAACTGAACTCTAGTCTTCTAAAATTTGTTAAATTCGTAGCAATCAGATGCCTTAAAATGAATTTATGTGCTTACAGGTAACATGACAAATCTTTTCTTACCAAGGTAACAATATCTTCATTTTATTACATCATTGTAGATTCTTCCAAACGTTCATTTTATTTCTGACGGACTGTTATCAAGTCGCGTTATTCTTAAATGGTACTAACAAGTACTCAGTTACTTCATTATGTAGTCAATTAATATTTTTAATTTTAATGGTTGACATCATGAATCAATTGAAGCTAGACCACTATGGAAAACCTGGAAGCACTGAATGGCCGTTTCATTCTATTGTGAGACTCCTCAGCAATGCACATCCACGATTCCGCCTCGTGAGATTCGAACCCACGACCTATCAGTTTCGCGTGCAAGTGCTTAACCACTAGACCATTGGGCCGGCATCCAACTGAGTTAATGTCTAACTTCAACTAATCCACGAAATTGAGCAACACATCCACCATTGTTTTTAGTGAGTTAGTATCTCACAACAGACTCGGTTGAACTCCACTGATCACTGCTTCCAACTAGAACTCCAGGATATACCTCTTGAAGCCAGTCACTAGTGAGCATCCAGGTTTTTCATGGTAGTCTAGCTTCGACTGACTAATGACATATTCAATGTTGGCCACCACAATTATATGAAGATATAAACTTCCATGTGTAATCTGATTTTAAAATATTATACTTTCTAAGCACCCCATGAGAAACTAACTAAACAAAATGAAATCATATTATATTCTGCTATAATCTTTGTTCCTGCTCCATCCAAGTGAACAAAAAGGAACTTTGTGCATGAAATGTTGTTTTAATTCATAATAATAAAACTGAAATATATGATTTTCTAACTGACATTTTCATGACAAAACGTATGAAATACAACATAGTTTAAGTTATTTAACCAGATGTGATTGTTTGAAGTTCGGCGTCGTGTGTTCAGGCACAGAGACGATAATGCAATAGGTGTCACCATCTTGAAACATCGACTTCGGTGGCTTGGACATGTTCTATGAATGTCGTCCAAGAGAATTCCACGTCGTGCATTATTTGCCGACTCTGGGACTGGTTGGAAAAAGCAGAGAGGTGGTCAGTGTATGACATGGTGTCGTGGTATGAAAGAAAGCTGCGAAGGGCTGGCATCTGTTGGTCCTTCACGACTCCCTGGTTTGGGTCCAAGAGATGTTGCGACACAGTGGCTAGAGACGTTATCAAACATGGCTCAGAATATAAGCCAGTGGCAATCCTGCTGTAATCTGCGTTTACCTTCATAAAAATTGGTTGTATCTTCCTTAACTGAAAGATTTCTTCTGGTTGTACCTTTCTGTTTCCCCATTATTTTTATTTCACTAACATACACTAATTTTTGGTCGTTATTGTTCTCTTTTTCTTTTACACGCACCTAACATTCTTTATCTCTTCCCAATCTCATTATTATTGTGTGGTGCATATGTATCTGGTTTCCACTTGTGCCAACATTTATGTGTTCAAATAAAAAAGATTGTTTGATATCATTAAATTGACATGAATCGTTATGAATGATTGATGTATGAAACAACCATCAGGATATCTGACTTCTTTTTGAAAATCCGACTCATCATTTTCGGTTTTCTTCATTGGCAAATGTCATGAATTTTCTTACAACTGCAGTACTGCTCAAGTGATCAAAGTGTTTTCGTAAGCAACCCCTTAAACGTCTTATTAGGAAATTTAATTCTAAAGGTAATGGAGCAACGTTAGAAGGATTTTTATGTTAGATGAAGTCCAAAGATAGTTTGTATCCCACTAATCCAGTCTGTACCACAGGGTTTGGAAACCAGTTTTTTAATCTCTACGACATATATTCTGTATGCGCCAGCTCAATTTAAACAGAAATCTATCTTTGTTGATCGACATAGTTCTTCATCTCTATAGATTTTATTGGAACAATAACAAGAACCGTTGTTTATCATTATGCTAATAGTTGTGAGGTATTTTCTTGAGTTGAATTTTACACATTCAAACTTATGTGAAGATATTAGTTGTCTTTACTCAATTTGACAATAGGTGTGACTGTTCACCCTGAGCTGCTCCTGAGTAAATGATCGGAATGATACATGGAATACTTAATAAACTTTAACCTCCTTTAAAACGTTGCTGTAGGGCTGGTCTGTTTCAGCACCTGAACTAATGATATGAAGCGAAGTAATTTTGTGTGTCAACTACGTATCTTAGAGGTCGAATCAACACCTGATGGGTTGATGTTTAAAGAAATTTCGGAATGGATACAGGAAGCTCGCTTAGATATAATGAAGCTAACTTGAGACAGTAATTAATAATGGCTTCACAAAGAGTAGATAAGGTTTATAATTAGTTGAATAATTACAAGCACATTATTGTCTGACTAGTAGTAAACAGCTGCTGACCTCACTTTAACCAGCCAATAAATTGGGATGAAATAAAGACCATTACAAATAAATTTATCCGGAAAAGAATAGCACCCATCTATTGTATTGGGTCACATATTAAGATTTAAAGTGATGTCCATAATGCTGACAGTCATAAGTTGAATATTATTCAATATATATTACTGAAACAGGAAAAACATTGTTATTTTAAAAACACTATCTGAACAAAGAACTGTTCAAAGAATGCATTTTCGCACTACGGTTACTGCAAATAAGCTTTAGTTAACATTAGTTCATCTGTTAAGTCCCACATAGTTTACATTCGAATTTTTAAACTTACTATTTCCTCATCCAGTGAATCTAGAGTACTTGAAACTAGACCAATAACAATTGAATATTTATCGCGTTTCGAATGATCAGGGCAAGACTGAACGTTCGCGTGTATGGATATGTCTTGACTTCCAGGTCTAGGATCCAGTTAGTATAAATAACAAGGACTTACTTTACAGTATGTCTTTCGGTAGCGTTGGTAACAATATAATCTCTAAGATTTTTGTGGTCACTAGTCAATATGTCATGGAAAGAAGACAATGAAACATCACGTAAGACACAAAACTCGACAGCTTTAATGCTAGAAACAGTTACTCGAATCGGATCACCTAAAGTTGTCAGTCAAATAGTAATTAACTCTCACCATACATATTACTGCCAGACGGCTGAAAGTTAGTTATCACAGAACTATTTCTCAACCTTTTTGTTGATACATCAGATATCATATATCCACTTGTTAACACAGACATTCCCGAATCAGCGTTTTGGCCATACAACCATAAGATGCTATATTTTAAAGCCAATTATTTTACTTAAATAGGAAACATACACTTTTTCCTTTACAACTTTCAGGATGACAGACAGTATAAGTAAAGCCAAGAAGATTCGAATAAACACACCCCTAATAATGTTGGAAATATCCATTGCAGTGGCTCAAAACTGAAACCAGGTGCCAAAATCCTGATTTGTTTGGTATTACTTCGGCGTTCACGATGTACGCATGAAAATAATTCCGTTTGGCTAGTACAGTGACCTTTAACAACAAGAAAACAAGTGAATTATTACATTGAGGATAGAAAGGTATTTATACCGAATCATAAGGATGTTCGAATTTTGGGACTATCAACCTCTAACATTATTTATTTATTTATTTGAACACATAAATATTGGTAGAAGGGGCACCAAATATATATGCGCCACATAAAACAGTGAGAATGGGAAGAGAAAAAAAGGAAAGGTAAGGAGCGTAAAAGAAAAAAAAGAAGAACAATAACGACCACAGATTAGTGTAAGGCAGTGTAATAATAATAATAATAATAATAATAATAATAATAATAATAATAATAATAATAATAGTAACAAAAATAATAGGGGAAACGGAAAGGTAAAACCAGAAGAAATCTTTCAGTTAAGGAAGATACAACCAATTTTTATGAAGGTAAACGCAGATTACAGCAGGATTGCCACTGGCTTATATTCTGAGCCATGTTTGATAACGTCTCTAGCCACTATGTCGCAACATCTCTTGGACCCAAATCAGGGAGTCGTGAAGGACCAACAGAAGCCAGTCCTTTGCAGATTTCTTTCATACCACGACACCATGTCATACACTGACCACCTCTCTGCTTCTTCCAACCAGTCCCAGAGTCGGCAAATAATGCACGAGGTGGAATTCTCTTGGACGACATTTGGACGACATGGCCAAGCCACCGAAGTCGGTGTTTCAAGATGGTGACACGAATTGGATTATCGTCTCTGTGCCCGAACACACGGTGCCGAACTTCTATACTACTAACATAGTGTTGCCACTGGATGTCAGCAATCCTTCGGAGACAACGATGATCGAACATAGAGAGTTGTCTAACATCCTCAACTCGGAGAGGCCAGGTTTCACAAATATAGAGCAGAACTGCTCTCACCGACGCGCTGTAGATCCGACGTTTTACAGCCAGACTGACATAACGAAGGAGCCAAAAATGACCCAGATTGGCATAAGCCGCTCTGGCTTTCACTATACGTGCATTGACCTCATCACTCACGCCACCACCAGCACTTACGCAGCTACCTAGATACACGAACTTCTCGACCACTTCTATCGACTCATTCCATGACGTTGGTACACGCTTTAGTTCCCACAGTCAGTTCCTTAGCCAGAAAGTCACCACCATCTTTAAAAAGAGCCGGAGGTAAGTCATCTGGGCCAGGTGAATTGTAACGCTTCAAGAGTTGGATTTCCTTGCGGACTTCCTCCTCGTTTGGTGGATCAGTCGTCACTGGCCATGGAGGGCAGGACAGTCTGGCCGATGTTGCCGGAGCAGCAGGCCAGTTGAACTGCCCTTCGAAAAATTCTGCCCATCGTCCAAGACGTCGATGGATGTTAGTGATTGGCATCCCATCATCCTCACAGATTGTTTCACTC